CCATCCTTCACAGCCAGTATAGCTGTTGGTGAAGCGGTGAAAGAAACGGGTGGCAGCCGCCGTGGACCTTCGCGGGGCTGCAGGTCGCAGAAAGCCTGCCGGGTCCTACTCCGGGTGCGCACTGGCTGTTGACTGGCTGTTGGCTGTTGAATTGCGCTCTTAGTTTGCGCGGGTGGAGCGAGGCGGCTTTTCGCATCGTCTTCCAAGGGCATGGATAAAAAGCCTGTTGGTTAGCTGCTTAAGGAGTTTTCCGCAGTCTTTAGAGTCACAAAGACTCTTCTGCTGGGTAAAGCTGAGGGAACCAGCGCTGCTTTTGCGGCCCTGCAAACTTTAGAGAGGAATCTGACCGAGTGCTGTGTGGGACTGCCCCGGCCACGGGTCTGATGCTCAACGGAACTGCAAAACCGCTGCTTTTTTCAGGCATGTTGAGAGGATCATCTGAGTAAGCTGTGCCCAAGATCATTTTGCAAACAGGATGTTACCAGGTGATCTTGAGGGTCTCAAAGAAGGAGCATACCAAAACTTAGTTTTGCTGGAATAATAAATCTGGGCTATCCTGTTTCAGACTGTAGGTGAGCATCGATATAAATAAGTGGTTTTTTAAAAAGTTAAGCATTTACCTGTAACTTGCAATTGTTCCACTTCCCCTGTCTAACACAATTGCCTTGGGCCTGATACATTAATTTTCATTAATTCCTCATCATATGGTTTATTGAACAACCAAGCAAATTATTCAGGTTCTCAGCCTTATTGTCTGCATAAAAAATGGACACATGTTTGCATCCCCCTCAAAACTTAGCTTGCCTTTTGTTACAAATTTTCCTTATGCATTATTCATTAATGCATGAATACATTAAACAAAGAAACATCACCCATTTTTGTTTTGCTTCTTGTTCAGCACTGAACTATCCAGTAAGCATTCAGTTTATTCTCATATAGGCTTTACTTCCATCAACGACTACTTGCTAAAATGCTTCCTTTTCTCAGTCCTGAACCTCCTTGTGTTTAATTTGCCAACGACCTCAAGTTCTAACGCTAAGAGAAAGAAAAGGCATCTTTTTTTCATCAACCAACCTTCAAATGTGTGAAACATGTCATAATTCAAACCTATTATCCTCGCAGCCCTGGGGGTGGTTGGTAGTTTGATTACACTTCCTTGTCTTTTAACCCTCTGTGTGTGTGTGTGTGTGTGTGTGTGTATTGTAAAGATTTTTTATTTTTATCATTTTTAATGTGTAAGCCGCCTAGAGTCACTTGTATAGTGAGATGGGTGGCGTATAAATCCGATAAATAAAATAAATAAGTTCACTTTGTCTAAATCAGAAAATGGACAGTAAACTCTCTTGCTTTCATACATTTCCCAATGATGTGCTGAAAGGCAAAACCTGGTTTTCACATCTCCTCCTCAGCATCGAGCCACATTATACTTCCCAAAGTTTGCTTAAGTGGTACCCTTGTGGTCAGAATTCTGCCAAACAGCTTCTCTGGCCCACTTAAACTAGTCCCTCTGCAGTTTATGGACTCTCTCTGATGACTTTTCCATTGCATAGGGGAACAAAAACAGCATTCTTCGGGCATAGATGTAGTCTTCACACAGCCACTCTATATGCAAGGCACATCTGTATTTTAACATTTCTTCAGTTACACTCTCCATCCCTGAAGCATGTTACAGCATGTTCGTGGCATTTGGGACTTCCTTTTCATCTGTTTCGTTTTTTGGACATTAATGTTTAGAGTGACTGTTTCAGCTGCACCATCTTTCTCATACAAAACTAACATGTTTTCTGCACCATTCCTTCCTGAGTTTCAATCCAAATCTTCATTTTTATTTTCAGTTTCACACACTGTGCTAGAAGCTGTCTGTTTAGTTTTTTTCACTGACTTCCAAGACAATGTGTGGTTTTTATCAAAATTGCTCTGCGTTTTGTAATATCAACTGTTTTCTTTAACTGCATTATTTGCAACTGTCTGGTTCTCTCTATGCAGGCTGCACATCTTTCTGTTATCTTTTGTGCAGCCATCCTTCCCTTACCTCCCAGCAAACGTTCTTTTTCATACTGCCCATTAGCTTAACTCCACACACGTCTGAGGCTTGACGTTCTTTTGACTCGCTTCCAAGCAGCTTCCACATCCTCCTTCCTTGTCCACTGTCCATTCATTCTTTTCAGAGAACGATCTGTCTTCTAATACTTTTTCATAAGGACTCATCGTTTCTCTTCCTATAGTCATTCTACTTAGGCTGTACTTTTTCTTGCTTCTTTCTGTCATTTTCCCCAAGGTGCACGCTTGACCTTTCCCAAAAGTGATGTGTCCTGTATTCAGAGCCTGTCCTCATCCTTGTACCCTCCTTCACTAATTCTCTGAGTCTTTCATTACAAATAACACAGTCAGTCATGCTTTTAGACGTGTGTTTGTTCTATTGCCCTGTGAGCATCCTGTCTGATCAGGCAGACTTGGCATGCTCCAGTTCCCGTCCATTAAGCTGCATCACCTGATGGGATCTAGGAAGCAGGCCTTCTCTGCCACAAAGCTTCTCCTCTGGATTCCACCCCCCCTGGAGATCCGTTTGTGCCTCCCCTTTATTAAGTTTAAAAGAGCCTTGAAAACCTGGCTTGTCCTCCAGGCTATGAGTGGCAGGTCCTGTGTATATGTCAGCCCCACCAGGTAGACCAGACCAGGAAATCAACTCCATAGGAAGGCTAAAACTACGTGGACTGAGATTGGTTATTAGAACCTTGCAAGTCTGACTATGCTGTACTTCCTCCCCTTTCTTATACTCTTGTGAATTAGGGAGGTGCCTGTCTGAGCGGCTTACATATGCTATCTGCCTGTTGTGGATTTAAGACATGTTTTCTCCCTCAGTGCTTTGATAACGGAGCTTGCATATCTCCATCACAGTCATCTTCCTTACTTTCTATAGCAGGGTTCCTCAACCTTGGTGACTTGAAGGTGTGTGGACTTCAATTCCCAGAATTCCCCAGCCAGCCATGTTGGCTGGGGAATTCTGGGAGCTGAAGTCCGCACATCTTCAAGTCGCCAAGGTTGAGGAACCCTGCTCTATAGTATTGCATGGTTTTTAGAATTTGTTTTTAATCTGGATGTCTGTATTTTCACTAATATGTTTAGTAATTATTTTATTATTATACACTTCCCAGAGTTGCTATGGAGTTGAGTGGACTTATAAATATAATAAATAAATAAACATTCTAAGTGGATGATCGTCAATCACTATGCTCATTTATTCTTGGGTTTCCAAACAGCCCAGTTTTCTGTTCTCTCTTGTCCTCATGACCCCCAGCTAAATAATTTCTTCCCTTGACTTGCACTCATTCAGGATGTTGCATAATTTCTCCCCAAGCTTGTGTCTCAATTATCACTATTCACTGGAGCATAATGTGCAATATCTGAAACCTATGGATTCCTACACCCATGGATACCCAAAACAAGCTAGGGAAATAGAGAGGAAGATAATATAATGTAATAGGTATCCCTGAAACTTTGTGGCATACAGCACTGTAAGGCTACAATTTATTGAAAAGGAACAGACTCAAGAGAAAATAGGAGAGGTGTTGCATTGCACATAAAGAAAAAACATAACATAAATTGAGGAATCAAAGAATGGAAATTCTACGTAAAATATTTGGATAAGAATAAAAAGTGAGGGAAACAAATACCATTGTGGGATCTATTATAGACCACCTGGGCAGGCAGAAGATATGGATGAGGCCTTTCTTCATCAGATGAGCAGTATTTCAATAGTGGTAATGATGGTTTTCAATTACAGGTAGTCCTCACTTAACGAACACAATAGGGACTGGAAAACGCATTGTTAAACAGGGCGGTTGTTCAGGGATTCTGGCCCAATTTTAGGATCTTTTTTGCAGTGGTCATTAAGGAAATCACCACAGCTGTTAAGCAAATCACACGGTTGTTAAGTGAATCATGTGGTTCCCCATTGATTTTGCTTGCCAGAAACTGGCTGGGAAGGTCACAATTGGCGATCACGTGACCACAGGATGCTGCAACCCTCATAAGTGCGAGCTGGTTGGCAAGCACCCAGATCATGACCACATGACCGCAGGGGT